CAGCCGCAGCTGTGCCGAAATGTGGGCGCGCAGTACTGGCCGGGCGCGTGGGCGTCGCAATCGCAGCCCTGTGGCGGGCTGATCAAAGGGCAGAATTCAGCCAATAAAAGATTCCTGCAGCTCTGAGTCTGGATGGCTCCCAGGGCTCCCCTGATGAGCGGAGACATTCAGTCGCCTGCTGCTGCTTCTGGAAGAAGGTCTGTTTGCTCTTCCACATGCCCCTGTGCGATCTGGTCTCAGTGTGCCGGGCTGTGCTGGCTCTGGCATGCCCTTTTGCCAGCTGATGGGCTGAGCTCGAATCTCTTCCAGTCAGCAGGAGCCTGCTGGTGGCAGGGCTGCCCACACCAGTTGTGTGTGAGAGAGCTCTGAGGTCCTGTGACGGGCCTGTGGAGGTGATGTGTGTGGGAGACCCCCTGGGCTCTGAGGTTGCATGTGTTAGATCTCCGGGCCCGGGGGGTGGGCGCAGGGGGTGCACGATACCTCTGGGCCCTGGAGGGGATGCATGTGCCAAATCCCCTCAGGCCCCCCGGGCCTTGGAGACGTGCATGTGTGAGATGCCCCTGGATTCTGGGGAGGTGCGTGTGCCAGAGCGCCCGGGGGAGGTCCCCCAGCGCTGGGAGGGGAGCAGCACCTCACGGGACTCCCTCCTTTCAGTTACATCCCTGCTGTGGTCGATCACCGTGGAGGAATGCCATGCCTTGGAACCTTCCTGCTCCACCAGGTACAGCCCTTGACCCCGCCCATCTCTCATCCGCGGAGCAACGGGGTGTCAGGCTGTTGGCTTTAACTGCTGCCCCTTTCTGCCTGGGCCGGGTTGTAGGGCATCCAGAGGAGGATCACCGTGACCTTAGTGCATGAAAACGGCAGCCACGTCCGCTGGAAAGAAGTGCGAGAGCTGGTTGTGGGTAAGCAGTGCTGCTGGTTGGCATGGGCTGAGCAGCCCTTCACCCCTTTCCCGTCTTCTCGCCCCTCCCGGTCTGTCCCCCCAGCAGTGGGAATCATGCAGCTGATTTCTGGAGGCCAGCCAGCCCTCCCTTGCTAAGGCTCAGCAGCACAGCACCCAGCCAGAAGCCCCCTCACTGAATCCGGGCTGCCCAGCCCTTACTGATACAGCAGGGCTCCTGGACAGAGCCTCTGCCTCTCTGTGGCCTGGGGAGGCCCCGGCATCTTCAGGCTGGCCAGCCTTGTGCAAGAGTGCGAGCCAGACCTGGTGAGGGCGGCTAGCAGGCACCCCCAGCTCCTCCTTGTCCCGCCCGTCCGTGTGCGGGTGCTGGCAGGAGCAGTGGGCACGGGACTGGAGAGGGTCTGTGGCTCACACTGAGTGTCTTCCCCTCGTCTAACTGTCACACTTCCCATGCCATGCTGCTGGGCACTGACCATCCCTGACAGGCTGGGCTGGGCAGGGCCCTGTGCTCCTGCCCCGCCTCCAAATGCTTTGGGTTGATGTGTGTTGCAGGTCGGATCCGAAACACCCCAGAAGGGGACGAGTCTCTCATCGACCCCAACATCTTGTCTCTGAACATCCTGTCGTCTGGATATGTCCACCCCTCCCAGGACGATCGGTGGGTCTGCCCTGGCCTGGCCTCTCAGCAATGTCAGGTCCAGTTAGGCTGTGAGGGCATTTCTCCCTCCTGCCACCAAGGCCGGAGCGCGGGGGCAGTGGTTGTGCTGCATCTGCATTTCAGAGGCATTAGCGGGATGGCAACCTTGCTGCCCACAAGGCAGGACCAGTGGAGGATGCCTGGATGCTAGAGATTCGAGGTGGGCTTCCCCACCCCACCCCCACCGAGACAGGACATCCTTGCGCCACTGGGCTGCCCTGGGTATGGACCAAAGGGGCCTAGCCTCCCAGTGACAGTTTCCAAGGGCTCTTTGATCCCCACCCTGTGTTGCAGCAGCATTAATCCAGGCGTGAGGCCCACAGCCCTGCTTGGACTGCTGGGCACTGTCGTCTGCACTTCCCGTGAGCCTGAGAAGGAGCCAGAATTGCTAAAAAGCCACAGTGATACCTGAGCAACCCCCAACCAGCTTCCCCCGGCCCCCAGCACTTGCTGCTCACAGCAGCCCCACCAGTCAGCTGTGGGGTACTGGAACAATGTGTCCGGTGCTGGCGGGGCTGAGACCCATTGAACCAAGCTGCAAACCCCGTGTATGATGGAAACACTTCAATACCGGGGTGCATCAGCCTGCCCCTCGTCCCACCTGCCTCAGTCAGCGTTTCGCAGGGTGCTCGGGGGTGTGGGAGGGCAGGAAGGGGCAGAGCAGGGGGTTGAACAGTAAGCACTCCCAGCACATTGGAAAGCTGGTGCCTGTCGCTCCAGCTCTTGAGTCGACACGTGTGCGAGACGCTGCGTGTTCATATCCGATGAGCTGCAGGGTGGCCCCCTTGCTGGAAACGTAACCTCTCTGAAAGCTAGTACAGCGGTGTGCCTACCGGTGCTCTGCGAGTGCTGACCTTTGGGCTAAGTCGTAAGGCGGTGGCAGCAAACACCAGGCAGGGACCCTAGCAATGACCAGTGCGTAGGTCAGTGTTGCTGCGGGTTGACAGCTGCTGGCATCACCCGGCGAGATGGCTAGCCCGGAGAGCTCTCATGGGTCCCTGGAGGACAGGTTCTGGGTGGAAGTGGCTGTACAGTGTGTGTGGGGCCAAGACTGGAAGCACATACAGCAGGAAGCGGCAGTGGTCACTAATGACAGCACTTGCTTGTCATTCACCTCGAGGAGATGAGAGATCAACCCTGGCGAGGCAGGGACCTGTGGACTGGTGTGTGGCCGTTGTGAAGCATTGTGCTGCCTGTCCTCAGAGCATGGCAGGAAGGAAACAGAGCTGGTCCCTGGATCCTTGGAGATGTCTCCCTTCCTCCTGCCAGGGCCACCCTGCTATGGCACGTGCTACACCTGGGGGAATATGCTTGAGTCATGGACCAGTGGTTGCGAGCAGAGTCACTGAGCTGGGAGTGACCGGAGGAAGGGCTTGGATCAAGGCAGTAGGCAGACTGCAGTGCGTGCTGTCAGCCGCCAGGCAGGGTGTTCAGAGGGAGCAAAGGACTCAGCACCGCTCTGGATAACTCAGATCCTTTGTTCCTGCCTCATCTGAGCAAAACAGAAACTGATAGGAGCAGTGTAATAGATGCAGCATTTCTCAACCCTTGGGTCCCCGGGACCGGCTTGCTTCCTTCCTAAGCTGTGTCCAGGCCAATGCTGATGCACAGACCGGTCATTGAGAAACAGCGTAACAGT